TAAAGGCGCTTCCCACCTCCACAGTCACAGCCCAGCTCCTGATTAAGCATGTTTTCCGCCTCCATGGGATACCGACCGAGATTCTCTCAGACCGTGGCCCCCAGTTCGTATCCCGGGTGTGGAGGGAGTTTGCCACCGCTTTAGGGGCCCGGGTGGCTTTAACTTCTGGCTTTCATCCCCAGACCAACGGCCAGTGCGAGAGAATTAATCAGGAGCTGGGCGCCATGCTACGCTGCATCTGTTCCACCAACCAGTCTTCCTGGAGTGACCAACTGGCTTGGGTTGAATGCGCCCACAATAGCCACGTCTCCTCCGCCACAGGTCAGTCCCCGTTTGAGTCCTCTCTTGGATATCAGCCGTCTCTGTTTCCACTCCAGACAGACTCCATCAGCACCACTCCCCAGTTTCTTCGCCGGGCTCGTCGTGCATGGGTGGCTACTAGGTCAGCCCTTCAACAAACCGCGGAGAGGAATCAGCGGTTGGCTGATCGTCACCGTCGCCCAGCACCCACCTACGTCCCCGGACAGATGGTTTGGCTTTCCTCGAGAGATGTGCCCTTGAAAGCCACGTCTAGAAAGCTCGCCCCTAGGTACCTGGGTCCTTTTAAGGTGATTGCCGTCCCGAGCCCACTGACCATACGCCTGGACCTTCCACCGTCTCTCCGGATCCACCCAGTTTTCCATGTCTCCCTGGTCAAGCCTGTGGTCTCCAGTCCCCTGTGCCCGGCTCCGGCTCCTCCTCCTCCTGCTCAGTTCTACAAGGGGGGGTTGGTTTACAAGGTTCGGCGCATCCTTGACTCCCGTCCCCGTGGTCGTGGGGTTCAGTACTTGGTCGACTGGGACAGTTATGGCCCGGAGGAACGGTCCTGGATTCCCCGTTCCTACATTGAGGATCCCTCTCTCATAACCGAATTTGAGGCATCAAAGACCGCTGCTGCGACCCCAGGGGGCGTACGTTGAGGGAGGGGCACTGTGATGTTCCTGAGCCGAGGTGAGTGACATCACCCCCATCTCACTCTATCTGACTGATCTTGCACAGGTGACAGCGGAGGGGGCCGCAGCTGCAGAACATCTCCAATCAGGGACGCGGGAATAAAAGGAGGATGGTGACATCTCATTACGCCAGATGATTGCTCCTGTATAGATAGTCCCAGCCACTCGTTCTTGTTTTGTGAACTCGTCACTCGAATATAGGATATTTTGGATTATTGAACTTGGACCACTCTGATTACTCTTTGGATTGCCCTGAAATCTGGATGTTATTTGTTCTCTCCAGAATCCCATTCAAGCTGCCTCAACTTGCTGTTTTGCTGACTGGACATTCACACCACCTCCCATCCTCCTCCGCTGTGCCTGGTTGGATCCCTTCCGCTGTCTAACCTGTTTCCTGATCACCCCTGGACTGACTTGAGCTCACCTCGGCTTCCTCACCTCGTTCTCCCCGGACGTTTATGGACTCGAGCTACTGCTCACCCTCTCCACAGGACTTCCCTGTGCACCTTTTGTTCCAGTTAGTAAATAAAGACTTTAATTTCATCCTACCTGCTCGTCGAGTCAGATTACTGCATGTCTTGGGTTAAACACATTCCACGAGACATGACATCTTCGCAGGTTCTGTGGCCTCACCCAGATCACCCGCAGGCAAACCGAGTGCATCACAGTTCTAACCAGAAGCATGTGTCAACAGTGGCGGTTTTACCATTAGGCATAGGTCGGCGGCAGCCTGGAACTCCCTTATGTTGGGGGAACCCCTAGCCCTGACTGCTGGCACCCCTCTGTTAATGCCACAATGGACTATTCCTTTAATATGCCGATGCACAAACAGTAAGTGATTGGTAGTCATTCCACTCCAATCCAGTTGGTGGCAGTAATGCACCAAATTGTTGTTTGCCAAGTGCCATAAGACCACAAATAAGAAGAAGAAGAGAAAGCAGAAAAAGAAGAGAGGTGCGAGCGTTCGCAACAAACTCGAAGCGGTTGTCAAAACATGAAGCATGAAATGGAGTTATCCTAGTGGCTCCAATAAGAGAAAGAAGCAGCTTGCTTTAAAAAAGCTTTTATCTTCACTTCTGAAAGTGACATCATTTTTCTATGTAAACATCAAAAGGAAGCAGAAAAGGAAAGACAATGGAAAATGTTGAAAGGGAGGAAAACGGAGAACAAAATGGAAAATAGAAGAAAAAAAAGAAAGGCAAAATCACAGGAGCACTGACAGGAAGAAGAAAGCAGAGCAATTATTGAAGGTGCTCAAAGGGAGAGAAAGACAGGAAAAAGAGGAGGACTAATGCTAATGCTCAGTCTGTCGCAGTCGTTGTGTCCTTGGGCAAGACACTTAACCCACGTTGCCTGCTGGTGGTGGTCAGAGGGACCAGTGGCGCCAGTGCTCGGCAGCCTCGCCTCTGTCAGTGAGCCCCAGGTCAGCTGCGGCTACATCGTAGCTCATCCCCACCAGTGTGTGAATGTGTGTGTGAATGGGTGAATGACTGATTGTGTTGTAAAGCGCCTTGGGGGGGTTCCAGGACTCTAGAAGGCGCTATATCAAATACAGGCCATTTACCATTTTTTAATTAAAAAGTGAAAATAGCTTGTGTCAGAAGAGGGGAGAGTTTCGCAAATCCGGTTAAAGATAAGCTGTGTTCGCCTTGGGCCCCCAAATTGCTAAATCCGCCACCGTCTGTCAGCATTCATTCTGGACAGTTTTACTTATTTTATGCATCTTTGTGAGAAATGTCCTCATGTCCCCATGTCTGTGGAGGGATCAGACAAGGACACTGCTTATTATGGGATAGTAATGGCACTGACTCCTCCTCCAGCTTCCACAAGCCTGTAGTTTCATTTTGGTTCATTCGGTCTTTTACTTTCTAACTTTGTTGACAACCATGTCAGTCACGTCCACCATGCATGCAGCACAGCAACCAGGAAAATGTGGAACGGACTTAAGCAGACTGAGTCATTTCTAATGAATCAAGTGGAATGGAATTCTTTGAAACACTCGAAAGACCAAAAGGAAAAGGTGTGTGTGTGTGTGTGTGTGTGTGTGTGTGTGTGTGTGTGTGTGTGTGTGTGTGTGTGTGTGTGTGTGTGTGTGTGTGTGTGTGTGTGTGTGTGTGTGTGTGGCGGGGGGGTCCAACCAAATGTGTAGCGCCAGTGCCACATACACTGGCACTACCTGGTTGCTGTTGCAGGTGGTCTTTACGTGTGCTTTAAGAAATGCAGCTTGAGTTTATTTCTGATGAGGTTTATTACTTGTCTTGTTCCAGAATGTCCAGGATCCATTTACAGCAGTTAAATTGGTTTGCAGTGAATGCGTTACTTGCCCCAGTGACAGTCCGCAGAGTCCGTTACACACAGCCACAGTCCTCGCCACACAGTACTTTTAAAAAGTGGAGGGGGCGTTCCCTTCTGACATAATGGTTGCGACATCTATGAACCACCTCCAATTCAGTAGTTTGCTCGTAGTTTCTCTTGATCCAAACGTTGGACCGTTTCTGCCTCTAACAATGGTTTCCGTCATTGGTGGTTTCTCTTTTTTCCGACACAGCACAGAGATCACCACGTAGTGCTCCAATAAAATGTGTTCAGACTGTGGAGCGCACATTTAACGAACCTTCGAATCAGTAAAAAAATTAATCAAGGAACTTAATGTATCGAACCATTTTATGACTCAATTCAGCCCTACTTCCTTTCAACACCTTAACAACTCTTTAACTGTCATTGGCATGTTTTTACTGTGTGGGCGTCGGAACGAGCCCCCGCACCGTGAGAACAAACATCCCAGGTCTAAAGCAAATCTTCATCCGCGTACGTCACACGTCACATGATCAGGAAGCAGAAAGTCCATGTGTAAAGAGATCCTTTTGGGACGCTGCTGTAAAAAAAGTGAGGCGAGAACCGGAAAAGCTTCTGCAGACCACAATTCAACAACGACTTATGAAAGAACGGATAATGCTCAAAACGCGCAGATTCTTCCTGTAAGAGGTGAGCCTTCGCTATGTTTTGGTAGTTTTGACGTTGACATCATCATAGAGTGCAACGTTCTGTGACTCTTAAAAAACAGTAAAAACGCTGGCAGCGAAGAGCTTTTCTGATCAGGAAACGGCAGGCAGTGAGTGAGTTACACAAAAAGAAAAATCTAATTTGTGCTGCACATCCATAAAAAAATCCATGTTTGGACTTCTTCTGTGTTTGCAAATCAGTCAGTGAATCATACCTTAATCAGTCAAATGCACAAACCACGGCCCATCGTCATTTACTGGACAAATGATGGGCGAATGGAAAAACAGCCCAACCATAGAGTGGGCTACCGGAGCTGCAATACTTACTCTGAACTGTGTGGCGCTAAAGAGTCAAATGTTTTTACACACTGGGCCTTTAAGCTCTAAACCATAGCGACATGCTGAAGCAACAGCAGCCATACGTGCTGTCAGCGCCACTGCCGTCATGTCTGCAGCATGCTGTCTCCCCAACTGTGATTGGTCAAATGATGATGTGTGACTGACTCTACAACAAAGGTAGGTTGTGAACAAGATGAAAACCTCTCCTGTCTCTGCCTGATTTTCGTAGTGACTGAAACCCGACAGAAGACCAAATAGTTTCCACAGCTTAATCTCACCGCTCCCCATGAGGACGGGCCAAATACAGGACATAACTTCACCAGTGTGTGACGATGACTTTGGGACTTTAACTCCCCTCAAAACAAAAAATTCTTTGGATCAATACGAGTCACATGACCACTATACTCGGCTTCAAAAAACATTCATTAGAGAGATCTAATCACTCTAAAACTTCAAGGTTATACAACAGTGTGTGAATGAGTGAATGACGGGTTGTGATGTAAGAAGCTTTTTTGGGGGGGGGGGGGGGGGGGGGGGGTTAGAACCCCAGTAGTGCTAAGCATATACAGATAATTATTTTAAAGATTGAGCCTCATTCTCATAATTTAACTGTAATGTCCCTCCATAGACTGACAATATATTCATTCATTCATTCATCCACCAGTACCTGTGTCCATGCTGTCAAGGTCCAGGTGGTGAAGAACACACGATGAAGCAGTCCCAGCTGATGGATGATCCTGAAGTGGTAGCAGGTTTTCTTTAGCAGTGTTTAGCTAACAGCTGCAATAGAAACAAAGCAGGAGAGCTGATTAAGATGCTGCTTCAGAACAACGCAGGAGATTAAAGATCCAACGGGTTGGTTCAGATCAGCCGAGGACAGATCCAGTCTGGAAAAGAGGACCTTTGGTCACCAGAGTTCATGGAGTAGAGCTAACCGCTTTTTCCTCCAGAGTCACAATCAGATTCGGGGCTTTTCCGTCGGAGAGTGTGAGCAGGATGGATCAGAGAGTGAGCAGCGATCCTGCATCATGGCCAACTCAGATGAGCAAGTCTGATAGAGGGAACCTCTTCAATCTGATGAAAGCAGCAAAACGAGCGCGTTTCTCAGAGAGGCCAAAGGAACAGCAGCAGATCCAGAGGGCAGGAAGTCTAGAGAAAAGCTTTTCTCACCTAAAACCTAATTCTAGAGCTCAGATTGTCACAAAGATCGCAGAAGTTCTGGAAAGAACTCCACCAAGTTGTTGAGGAAAAGAAGAAAGTTTCCACAGCCTGGTGAGATTTCTGCTGCAGCAGCAGTTAGTCGCTTTAGCTGATCAACTCTCCCAGAGACTGAAGTGAAGACATTTTTACTGCAGAGCCTCAAATATTCTCCTCACACACCAGAACATCAAGTTAGCTCTGCTAGCAGCTTCCGGTTTCTGCTTTTTCCGGTGGTCGGTGACCAGCGTAAAGGTGCACTAGCGCTACCTGCTGGAGCAGAATAAAACACCTGTGTTCAGAATGGGACTAATAAAACACATAACATGTGATATCTTCCTCAAACAATTACTTAAAGACAAGTTTTACACCTGTTATAATACTTTTGTTATTTACTTTATTTTTATTTTAATCTTGTTTGTTTTTATCTCATCTGTTTTCTTTGATGTAAAGCTAATTATGTGTCTGTTGCTGCTGCCTCTTGGCCAGATCGTTGTTGTAAATGAGAATGAGTTCTCTATCGACTCATCTGGTTAAATGTTTCTGATACACACACACACCCACACACACACATTTATATTTATATATATGTATATATATGTATGTATGTTTTAATGGTGGGCTGGTTTGATTAATATGTGTGATAGGCTGGGCGATCAACTGGTTGAGATGCCAACCAGTCCTGCTACATCTACATACAAACAGTCCAAAGAACTGGGTGTGAGCGTAGCCTCTGTGTGCCCCTGCACATACGGCTCCTTGAACACCCAGATGGTCTGTTACACATACGTTTCTGGTTCTGATCAAGTGGCCAAGCAGTCAACAATATTTACATAATAACAGTCCCAAGTCAATATATATGTCTGTGGTCCCAGGAACTGGGTGTGAGTGTAGCCTCTTTGTGGTCCCCCACAACATGATGAACACGAGCTTTGAAAACCCTGGACATCTTCTGTGATTTAGATTCATCATATATTTCCCCCAGTTTCAGCTGAGTGTCTCATTTAGTAATAAAACATGATCTAGGTCTAGAAGCAGACTCTTGCTCATCATTCATTGTTTATTTTTGTGGAACCCCCCTTCCTTTTGTTTCTTCCTTTCTCTTTCACCTGTCTCCGTGTCTGGTCGGAATTACAAAGCATTCAAATAACAATAAAGTTTTAAGTATCAGGCGTGACATTAAAGCAGCAGCTTTGATGCTCCAGCTGAGAGTAAATCTGTTAGGCTTGTCACCAGCATTCAGACATTAATTATGTTTGTTTCACAGCCAGACAGGATATGGGGGGGTAATAAAACATAATTGTGAATGCTTGCTCAAGTCAAGTTTATTATATAGCCCATTTCATACACAAAACGGTAGCCCAATGTGCTTCACATAGTTAAAACAATCACAAGTGAAAGGAAATACTTAAAATGTCACATCATGTTGTGTAAAATCAAATCAAAGAATATTGACACAGAACATAGTACACAAAAATAAATGCATATAAAGTACAATTATTTACTTTAAAATATAGAACAAAGATAAAACAGCACATAATAGGTATACGTATAAAATACATATAGAATAAATGTAACACAATACTGATAAAGACCTAGTAGAGCACAGATGCAAGGATAGGTTAATGGAAGGCATCATGAAAAAGTTTAGTTTTAATAAGTTTAATTAGTTTTCAGACCCATGGAGAAAAAAACCTACAAGATGCAGAAAAAAGGATAATTCTCCAACCTTCATATTGTCAGCAATAAACACAGCAAAACTTAACTTTCATGACCAAAAAAAAAAACAAAAACATAAAAATTATTCAGTAAATCAGGAGCAGGAAAAAAAAATCTTATTTCTGATTTAACACTTTTTTTCAATTCAAACTATTTACACTTTTGTGTTTTCATCACATTTAGCTTGTATTTTATTTAAAATATCATCAGCTTTACAGGTTAGCTGTTCCTGTGTGCTCAAAAACTTGTTACCAACCTCTAAAAAAATTACCAAATCATTCACATGGAAGTAAATTTGTTATTCATTATCTGGAAGTATTTGATTAGTTTAAAAAACTAAATATGTTTTGTTTAATTTGGTTTTCAGAATGTCACTAGTTTACTTATACTACAAATATATATATTGATGTACTGAAATACAGAGAAATGAACTTGTGAATACAATGCATGTTACTATAGTAAGTATAGCATGTTTAACATAAGCACATTCACACATGGAAAGTATCAATGTAAATAAATCATATGGCAGTAACTCTGCTGTACTTCCATTGTGTGTGTAGCTCACGGGCCAAAAAAGTTTGGAGACCCCTGCAATAGATCATTCAGCCCTAAAGGATGCTTAGATGATTGTTTAAAGATTTCTTTCGGCTAAATCTTCATCCACAGAGCTCACAAGCAAAAGGCATCTGTCATTTGTGGACTCGCATGTGTGTGTTTAAACTTCCCTTTTCACTAAATCTATTCCCACAGAGCTCACAAGCAAAGGGCTTCTCCCCTGTGTGGACTCTTATGTGTGTGTTTAAATTTGTCTTTTCGCTAAATCTTTTTCCACAGAACTCACAGGCGAAAGGCTTCTCTCCTGTGTGGACTCGCATGTGTGCGTTTAAATTTCCCTTTACACTAAATCTATTTCCACAGAGCTCACAAGCAAAAGGCTGATCCCCTGTGTGGACTCTCATGTGTGTGTTTAAATTTGTCTTTTCATTAAATCTTTTTCCACAGAACTCACAGGCGAAAGGCTTCTGTCCTGTGTGGACTCGCATGTGTGTTTTCAAACTTCCCTTTACACTAAATCTATTCCCACAGAGCTCACAAGCGAAAGGCTTATCTCCTGTGTGGACTCTCATGTGTGTTTTTAAACTTCCCTTTTCACTAAATCTATTCCCACAGAGCTCACAAGCAAAGGGCTTCTGTCCTGTGTGGACTCTCATGTGTTTGTTTAAACTTCCCTTTTCACTAAATCTATTCGCACAGAGCTCACAAGCAAAGGGCTTCTCTCCTGTGTGGACTCTCATGTGTGTGTTTAAATTTGTCTTTTGGCTATATCTTTTGCTACAGAACTCACAGACGAAAGGCTTCTGTCCTGTGTGGACTCTCATGTGTCTGTTTAAATGTGATCTTATGCTAAATGTTTTTCCACATACATCACAAGCAAAAGGCTTATCTCCTGTGTGGACTCTCATGTGTGTGTTTAAACTTCCCTTTTCACCAAATCTATTCCCACAGAGCTCACAAGCAAAGGGCTTCTGTCCTGTGTGGACTCTCATGTGTTTGTTTAAACTTCCCTTTTCACTAAATCTATTCTCACAGAGCTCACAAGCAAAGGGCTTTTCTCCTGTGTGTACTCTCATGTGTTTATTTAAAGTTGACTTTAAGCTAAATTTCTTTCCACAGAGCTCACAAGCAAAAGGCTTCTCTCCTGTGTGGACTCTCATGTGCGTGTTTAAATTTGACTTTTGGCTATATCTTTTGCCACAGAACTCACAGGTGAAAGGCTTCTGTCCTGTATGGACTCTCATGTGACTGTTTACAAGTGTCCTATGACTAAAGGATTTGTTGACTGTCCTAAAGTCTGACTCAGAACACCTGTTCTCATTCCAGTCATTGTCTCGGTCTCCAGTTTCAGACCCAGAGTCTGACAGCTCAGAGTCTAGAGTTGCATCATCATCATCATCTCCAACGTCAGTCTCTGAAGAATCAGGAGTCAGTTCATGAGGGTTCCGATCTGGGTTCCGGCTAGTTTCTACTCCACCAGTTTCTGCTGTCGTCTGGTCAGCTGCGCTGCTGGTTGAAACATCTCTGTCTTCTATTGGCTTCTGATGAAGCTGTGAGAACAGAGGCTTCTCTTCATCATCCTCACTCTTTATAGAAGCAACAGTGAACGGAAACCTGGCAGCATCAGTCTCCTCCTTCAAATGGAGATGCGCCCCTTCCATACTGGGCTGGAGTTTCTCCTGTTCCTCCTTTATGTGGAGAAAATCTAAGTCCTGCTGGTTGACACCAGCGCTATGTTCTTCTAGAGCTTCTTCTTTAACCAGCACCACCTGTTGAAAAGCTGTAGGAAACACAGAAATGCATGATGTGAATTACCGACAGCTGTAACTGTGTTTTCAAACACATAACAGGAGCCCTGACAAAAAGCCAAGTAAAAGACGCATAATAACACCTATTATAAAAAGACCTTTTTTCCCAGCGCACTGGACCAGGACATGAAAATTCAATGAGGTTCATATTGACTAGAAAGTTTGCCCTTATAGCCTGGTGATATTGTGTGTGTGTGTGTGTGTGTGTGTGTGTGTGTGTGTGTGTGTGTGTGTGTGTGTGTGTGTGTGTGTGTGTGTGTGTGTGTGTCAAGGCCCCGCAATGTGGGTGAAAAATTAAGGCCAACGCGGAAGTGAAATAATTTGCAGTTCCACCCTAATCCTCTAGGGGCTGGTGTCAGAAGCGAGCAAATCCTCATTGACTCCCATGTTTAAAATACCAATTTAACAGCAGAAATAAACATGTTTACAGCCTGGTTCCAAAACATGTTTTTTGTTTAAATGATCTAGTTTACACTCATGACAACTCTGAGGGGGGTGAATTTTTTTCTCACTCTTCTGTTTAAGTGAGCAAGCAGGGAGGCATTGGGTCCCATATTTTCAAAGTCTTTGGTATGACCCGACCAGGAATCGAACCCCTGATCTCCCAGTCTCAGGGCGGACACTCTACCACTAGGTCACTGAGCTGGTTTTGGATATTATTTGTGCAATTGTTGGACAAAATGACTTGCTGTGGCATTAATTGCACTAACAGAGCGTCCAAGGAGTCTCCACTTAATTTTTTTCGGTAAGTTAAATTTTATTTATGTATTTTAGGTCACTGCCGAGCTGAGCTTAGATTTTAACATGTACTGTTTAACCATGAAATTTTAATGTAATAGGGTAAAACCCAGTGCATTTAACATAATGCTGCACTTTAGAAAATGGGTTGAAATATAACATGTTGGTGGAGCTGGGTTCCGACTATCGGCTTGTGGAGCTCTCGGGAGACCTCTGTTTTCCACCCGGTTCTACCCTTCCTGCAGCTCTGCGCATCTCTGTCTGATCGCGGCTTCTGTCTGCTGCGCGGGCTGCCTGACTTACTGGTTACTGACTGGTTTAGTGCAGAAAATTACAAGACTACATAGATATGGACACTTTAAAAGCTACCCAGTCTGGTCCATGCTGGCCCAGTTGAGAAAGCACCGTAAGTGACCATTTTGGAAGAACCAGTTTAAGGTGGTGTTTTAGGGCCAATTGAGTTAACACGAAGTGCACATTGCGCAATGATGAGTATGCAGGGTGGATTTGAGTGAGTAAGAAGAAACAATGGCTGGTAGGATTTGATAATCTGATCATCATCACCTGACACCACTTCTAATTTTGACCTTTCATCATACTGGGACTTTTTTTCTAGGGTACAATGCGTACCTGTAAAATTTCCTGGTATTTATTAGTCCAAATCTCTGAGATTTCTGAAAAACATATCTGTGTTCAGAAAAGAACCAAATAATGGAATTGGATAACAAACAGATATTATTTAACAAAGATGTTCAAAGCCTTTTCTCCACAGTCAGAGCCGCTTGATTAGAATAGAATAGACTATTATTCCCACAGTGAGGAAAATCACTCCTTACAACAGAACATACACTTAGAGAAAAAGAAGCAGAAAAATAAGCTATTATTGTAACCTTCAACCAATAAAATCAACGAATAAAATAAAAACTTGGGTTTCCAGAAATATGCATCATAAAGCACACTGACATACTAATGTACATCAGTGCACAAGTATTGAACACATTCTGAATATTGCATTGATGTCATTGTGTAACAGAGCCATTATACATGTTTACTGCAGAGGGGATAAACGACCTATGGTTGAGTTCTGTTTTACATCTTGGATGTCTCAGCCTGCCACTGAAGGAGCTGTCCAAAGACTCCACAGTGGAATGCAGTGGGTGAGAGGATTTTTTTAAGATGGAGGTCATCTTCACCATCATCCTCCTTTCACACATCTCCTCTACTGAATGTAGTTGGCAGCTGGGAATTAACTTTGAAGAACCTCATCCTCCTCAGGATGTGGAGGTGGCTTTGGCCCTTCTTATACAGAGCATCTGTGTTGTTGGACCACTTTAGTTTACTGCTCAGGTGAACACCCCTGTACTTAAAGGTATTCACCACCTAAATGTCTGCATCCTGTTTACTGGTGACTGAGGAGTAGTGTTTCTCTGGAAGTCAATCCCCATCTCCTTTGTCTTACTGGTGTTCAAGCAAACATCAGTCAATAAAGTCTAGAATGACTGACCTGTACTTCAGGTCATTCCCCACCAACACACAGCCAAGTCTTCTGAGAACTTCTGGATGCGACAGCGCTGCTGGTGTTGTAGGTGAAATCCGAGATGTAGAAGGTGAATAGCAAACCTTTCTTTTTACTGCAAGTCAAAGCGTTAGGAAATGGCCGCGAAACATCCAAAATTTTCTCTCTCTGAGCCTCAGAACCTGGTTGAGCTGGAGAAAGTTTTCTGCCATCCAGGATTGGATGTCTAAATTGCAGTTAAAAAGTGCATCCATTGGCCGTGTGTCATCAGGAGACACGGAGATGCACAACCGCGTATCATTAGCATAACTGTGAAAGTTGACTCCATGTCTCCTGATGACTCCACCAAGTGTGAGCATATAAAGGTTAAAAAGCACTGGGCTTGAAACTGAACCCTGAGGCACACCACATGTAATCCTATGATCCCTAGAGGAGCAGGTACCTAAACTTGCCATAAAAGTCCTGTCTGTGAGATAAGATGAGAACTGTCTGTGAACAGTACCAGAGTGGCCAATTTCTTTTAGACATGTTAAAAGAATAGTGTGGTCTACAGTATCAAAAGCAGCACTTAGATCCAGTAGAACCAACACTGTCGTTCACTGTTCATCATAATTTTATTTAAAATCTTCAGAAGGAACGTCTCCATGCTGTGGTTCACCTTAAAACAAGCTTTTCTAAAATTGTGCTTAAAAAGAGTAAGTTAGATACCGGTCTTATGGGCTCGACACACGGGAGGCGACATCGCCTCTCCTCCATTCATTTTCAATGAGACATGCGCGACAAAGCGATAATCGCGGGTCTCCCTCCTACCAAGCGAAACGTGAAAAACGTGCGTGTGAAATTTTGCGCTCGTGCACGTGTCGTGCTAGGCGACCCAGCGACGTGATCCCAGAAAGTTGAAATATATGCTCGGACGAGGACCAATCAACGGAGGTTTCATTCACTGACCAATGAGCGGACAGGATGCTCCGTACACCTCCGAGCAAACATGGAGGAGGAGAAGTTGATTATTATTATGTCTTATATAGTAAAATCAGAAGTAAAATTTCCCATAACTCTAGCAGCACCTTGTGAAACAAACGCTTAAACAACCTTAATTCCCTCCAACCTGACACAACGGAAGTTTCGATTTCGCCATGGAACAGAACGCATAGACGACTTTGCCGCTGGCCGCTGCCGCGGGTCACCTCCCGTGTTTCAGGTAATAAAAGCGAAAGCGACAAATTTCGCTGACTGCTGTCGTTTGTCGCCTCCCGTGTGTCAATTCAATTCAATTCAAGTTTATTTATATAGCGCCAAATCACGACAAGAGTTGTCTCAAGGCACTTCACATAATAAACATTCCAATTCACAGTTCATTAAGCCAATCAGAAATAATGTTTCCTATATAAGGAACCCAGCAAATTGCATCAAGTCACTGACTAGCCCATAAAACTGTTAAAATCATTTAAATCTTAATTGCTATTCTTCAACAGGGGCCTCACCACTGACCCTTTAAAGGCAGAAGGAAAGATCCCCGTCTAAACTGACCAATTCATAAAGATTCAAATTTAATCTCCAAAAGATCCATAAATTGTTTAATAAACTTTGTGGGAACTGGGTCCAGAGCACATGTGGTGGGCCTCACCAAGGAGAAAACTTTATAAAGAGTCTCACCAGGAAAAAACTGTCCAGCGTTTCCTCTGACAAAGCGCTGCAAAGACCCCCCTCCCCAGAGCGCACTGCCACACCACTGAACCTTTAGCCCCAAAGGCAAAATAGACGGAGATGGGCCAGGAAAAGTGGAACAGAAAAAAAGAAACTGAAAAAATAAAATTAAATAAAATAAAAAATAAAGCTCTGGCAACAGATGCATGTTCAGTCTGGTTTAAGTTGGAGATTTTAGGTCAGTTGAATTATCGTGCAGCGGCTGGGTGCGCAGGGAGGGTTGGGGAGGGAGAAACGGTGGCTGTCAGGAACTGATCATGATGATGCTGTGCTGATGATCCGATTATCAGACTCATGTCCTTTGGGGATAGAGAGCAGTGCTTTGGGCCGGTACCAGAACCACTGCCATTACTAATTTTGACCTTTCAGCATACCCGCACTTTGGTCTAGGGCACAGTGCATACCGGTAAATTTTTCTGGGTATTCATTAGTCAGAATCTCAGATATTTAAAAAAATGATCTGTTTGTCCTCAAACACCAGTCATCCACAGTCTGGCATGTGCTCCATGAATGACCGCATTGCGCTAAAGGTGCAGCACTGCCATGAGGTGCGCCACTTGTACACCACCACCAGCATCAGCTCAGGCAGAGGAGAGGAGAGAATGGAGAAAAAGGACGAGTTATCTGACACCGTGCACATTTCTGCAACGAATGACAGCAGCAGCCGGTGGATAAATGCTCTGACAAACACGTAGACGGGGGTGGAGAGATGAAATCCAAACGGAATATAGATCGTGAGCAAACACAAGAGAAATTCATAAGAGGAGTGTGCTTCATTTGAAAGTGGGCGTGGTGTTGCAAACAACATTGTAGTAATAAACATCCAACTGCTGCTAGTCATGAGACAGAAGAGGAGAATCATGAGTGGAAGTGGAAATTTAATTTACAACAGCCTGATGATCATTTATGAATTCTCTTGCCAAATGCATAAACCTTCACCTTTGGCTTATATTGTCTTTGGTTCATAGCCTTTCAATCTATAGTTTTACTATTGGTGTGTATACGAATAAT